CGTCCGTAACGTTACGTATGTTTTCTCTCCTTGTGTCCCATGGAGCCGTAAATACACACGTAACGGTATTACTATTTTTTATTTAACAAATTATAATTGTTTATTAGTATTTTATTCATAAGAAAACTACAGAATATATTATAATTTTAACAAAAATTTTAATTAAATCGTCAAATTTAGTTAAATAAATAAAATTAAAAAAAGCATTACTAGTAATAACTAGTAACTTTTAGTAACTTTTACGGAAATTTCATGGAATTACGGCTCCATGGGACACAAGGAGATAAAACACACGTAACGTTACGGACGCAATCCCTAGTAACTTTTGCGGACTTTCGGTGCGGATTACGGATTACGGGTTCTATGTGACGCCGGCCTCAGTCTTCTCTCTGGTAAAAGCGTCGTACGAAAAACGGCAGCGTGGCCCCTCAGGTTTTTCTCTCTGATAGTAGGCATGCTCCTTTCCATAGTTTTTCCTCAGTTTCCACTCTTGCTGTAATAGCTTTATTCATGCTCGTTTGATCACGTGACATTGACAAATGTGAGCAAGAAAACTTCAATGCAGAAGCAATCAGCTGATTGAGAAGCAGCTATAAATTTGCAAATTCAGATTAACATTGAAGCATTTAACTTAGTTCAACTGTATTTGCTGTATGTGTTTTTGTTGACAGTAGTGCATCTGAACAAGACTGTTATCCATAAACTTTCGACTTATCGCAAAGAGGGATTCATTGAGCGATGTAAAGAGCATATAAGTAATTGAAATTGATATCATTATTAATAAACTCTTTAGATATGTATTTCCAGTTTTATAAATAAGTCAATGCTTAAATCTTCCTTTTGATATACTTAAGCATTGACTTAAGCATTGATTTTTTTGTAAGATTGGACTATAAATGCAGGTTTAATCTATTTATAAAAAAAATTATGTCGCGACGACACGGACCTAGAGGAAAGTCACATTTCTTCACACGACATAGTAGAGAAGGTAAAATTAATGCTAAACAAATCTTGCTAAAAAAAATTTATATATTTAAAAATTTTTTAATATTATATTTAAAATATTTTTTAGAACAACAAAGTCAATCATCTGAATCTGGACATGGAGGTGCTTATTCACGAAGACCTCCTGGACTTAAGGGCAAAGAAATAGGATTGTATTACAGAAACAAAATAGAGAGAAAGCACAAAGGAAAAATACACAGGTTCTCAAATTATTGCCTCAAGTGGAGCACAGAATAAAAAGCATTTTGAATGATTCAAAGATCTTTTACAATGTACTACCCGATAAAAGATCTAGTTTTGAACATAGCAACAATTATGATTATATTTCTGATTCTCAATTTAAAAGAAAATTTTTAGAAATTATACATGGTGATATAGAACATAATCTTGCCAAAGCTATGATTATGGAATCAAAATTGCAAAAAAACAGCGAGATGGACAGAACATTATTAAATGAATATAAAGAAAAACAAACTCAACATGATTATTTAAATATGTTAAAATTTCGGATGAAGTTACCCACATATCATAAAAAATTAGAGATATTAAAACTTATAGAAGATAACCAAGTTATTGTTATCAGCGGAGAAACTGGTAAATACAAAAATTGTTTTCTAACATAGAAATATAGAATATAGAATATAGAATATTTTTTGTGATTTTCATGATATATAGAAAAAAATTGAAAAAATTTTGTCTTATAACATGCATTGTATTTATGAATTAATATAATAATGATTAAAAATTTTAGGTTGTGGCAAAACCACACAAGTTGCACAATTTATACTAGATGATCAGTTGGAAGCTGGAAATGGTAGCATTACGCAAATAATTTGCACGCAACCTCGAAGAATTTCTGCCATTTCTGTTGCCGAACGTGTAGCTGCAGAAAGAGCAGAAAGACTTGGAAAATCCGTTGGCTATCAAATACGGCTTGAAAAGTATCTTTATATGAAAAATCTATGCTACATATTTTGTATAAAAATAGAAGATTTCTAAATTATTTTACTTTTTCTACTTATAGGATTCCATCACGAGAGCAAGGAAGCATACTGTTTTGTACTACTGGTATATTATTACAAATTATGAAAACTGATCCAGCGCTAAAAAGTTTTTCCCATGTAATATTAGATGAAATTCATGAACGCACGATAGAAAGTGATTTCATCATTACATTATTAAAACAAATTCTTCCGAAAGTAAGTTTAAGTGTCTTTATGTTATTATTAAAATTTTAATATAAAAATTAATATAAACTTGTATTTGAAACTTCTTTGATTATTGTATATTGTTTTATTGTTATTGCTTATTATTATTTTTTAGTAATGGTTTATTATACAAATTAAAAGACAGTTTAGAAAAATAATTGAAAAATATTCTATATAATATTATACTCTATAATATAGTCTATTAAATATTGTACTCTATAAATTCTATAGAGCTAATATATATATAAGATGGAAGGATAATAATTAAGAGATTTACTTTACAGAGACCAGATTTAAAAGTCATCTTAATGAGTGCAACATTAAATTCTGAAAGTTTTTCAAAATATTATGACAAATGTCCAATGATACATATACCAGGAATCACCTATCCAGTACAAGAATTTTATTTAGAAGATATTTTATCATTTACAGGGTAAGTAATAATAAAACGTTATTTAACAACAAAATGAATACATATGCACATACAAATTGATACAAATTTAAGATATAATTATTTATTAATTAAATTAATTTTAGAACTTTGAGAATTTCGCAGTATATAGCATTTTTTTAATTCATAGATTTAAATTTCCTGAGCCACCACCCGAGCCCACTGGTTACAGAAAACATTTAAAAAGATACAAAGAACAACAACATAAACATGAAACGTTTTTAGATTTTATACTACCGTATGTTAGACAACTTAGAACTGAGGTATGCATAAACCATATATATCTTATACTATTTGAAATAATTTATGTATATAAAATATCAAAGCGTGATTATATATAATATTATGATAAAATAATTTTATTTATATATATTAACATATTTTACATAATCATACAGATGAAATACGCAAAACACGTTATTGATCAATTACGCAATCCGAATAGTGAAAATCTTTCATTGGAACTCATAGAAAAATTAGTTAGATATATATGTAATACAAAAGGTCCAGGAGCTATTCTTATTTTTCTACCTGGTATAATGGATATATCAAAACTAAATAGAATGTTGTTAGAATCTGGATGTTACCCAAGCTGTAAGTATTTATAATGCAATGTTATATTAAATACAAATAGCATAAAAATAACATGAACATAACTTTGTATTCATAATGTAACAATTTTTCTGTTTCTATAGATAAATACATCATTTATCCTCTTCATTCACGCATGCCTACAGTTGATCAGAAACTTATATTTAAAGAACCACCTCATGGAGTTCGTAAAATCATTATTGCTACTTCAATTGCTGAGACGTCAATAACTATAGAAGATGTAGTATATGTAATAAACTGTGGAAAAACAAAACTTACAAGATTCGACGTAAATAAAAATCTTCAGACCTTAGAACCTGAATGGGTATCTTTAGCGAATGCTAAACAAAGACGCGGTCGAGCCGGCAGGTGTGCTATTTTATATTCTATTATAAATTTAAATTAGTCATAAAAAGATACATTTTATCAAATTTTTATATCGATAAATAATAAACATGTATTATGTATTTTACAGAGTTAAGAGTGGAGAATGTTATCATTTATATTCAAAAGCTCGAGAAATGACGTTTGATCAGTATCAATTGCCAGAAATATTAAGAACACGCTTGGAACAGATAATTTTGCAAATAAAAATTTTGCAATTAGGAAAAGTAAAAAAGTTCCTAGTTAATATTATGGATCCGCCAGATATGAAAACCATTGATCTGTCTCTCGATTTACTTCGAACACTTAACGCTCTCGACAAAGATGAACATTTGACTCCTTTAGGTTATCATTTAGCACATTTACCGCTTGATCCTAGAACAGGTAATTTTATTATTACTGTTATTACATAGTTTTGTAATTATCTTGTAATCTAATGGACATTGTTTTATTAGGCAAAATGATTCTTTGGGCTTCACTGTTCTCTTGTGCCGAGCCAGTATTTGCTATTGCAGCTAGTCTCACATTTAAAGATGCTTTCTATTGTCCATTGGGGAAAGAGGAAGAAGCTAATAGAAAGAAATTAGAACTCGGTATGGGACAGTATAGTGATCATATTGTTCTTGCGGAAGCTTTACGAAGATTTGAAAATGCACATCGAAGAGGAAACGCTGGCCAATTTTGTCGAGAGTATTTCCTGTCTTTTAATACACTGAAGCTTCTCTCTGAAATGAAGACTCAATTTGCACAATATTTATGCGAAATGAAATTTCTGGACAGCGAAAATCCGAGTGATAGAAATGCTAACAGAAATTCGAATAATATAGCGTTAATAAAAGCTATTGTCTGTGCGGGATTATATCCTAACATTGCTGTTGTAAGGTACAAGTATTGATTTGCATAAACTCGAATTATTTAATTGAATTATTTAGAGCAATCTATAATTTGCGTTTTTTGTATACTAATTCTAATTGATTGTAACTGTTTTCTAAACCATTTTTTTCAGACGATCTACTAAACAAGGAGTGATTTGTTGGACGCCGGAAGATGGTTGTGTACGTACACATCCGTCGAGTATAAATAACAAAGTTGAAAAATTTCCCAACCGATATTTGACATATTTCACAAAACAACGTTCGACCGCCATATACTTACACGATACTACATGTATAAGTGTACCAATTTTGTTATTTGCTGGACCGACTATATCTACAAGTACATTCTCCTTTATTATGAATGCTATTTATCAACATATTTATTATACATATAATATTATCAATTTTTCAGGAAGAGAAAAAGGGAAATGTGTAATTAATAATATCAACTTCTCTGAAAATATTATTTGTGAACCAGAAACTGTAGAAGTGATACAGGTATGTAATTTATTAAATGCGTATTAGAAAAAGAAAACTTCTGAAACATTTTTTTGTAATATAGGAACTCCAATATGCTCTGAATACTTTATTGGAATATAAGATTACACATCCGGCAACAGTATCTTGGTCAACATTTGAAGGCAACTTATTAAAGTAAATTATATTTATATAATTATTTTTCTTGCGGTGATAACGATTGTTGTGATAAATTTATATACTTTTGTTATGTTACAGCGCAATCATTGAATTAGTATCACAAAAAGATGAAGAAATGGGTTTTAATGATGTTATTGGCAATGAAGATAACAATATTGATGAAGAGTTTACTGATGATAATTTCGATTGATATTTATTGTATTCATTAATTTATTATGAATGTCAATAAGTATGCAGTTGCTTCAATATTGTCCAGAAATATACATCGTTAAAAAATTTACATCATCCTAGAACAACTTCTAATCGCCTTTTAAGCATTTTTTCTTTTTTATCAAGTAAGTGTATATTGTTTATTATCAAAAAATGACCTAAATTTTAAGTTTCTCTATAACGGATATTCAACATTACAATGATATCAATAATTTAGTGTTAGATTGATAACTAAGTTGAAAGTAATTGGTCTAAATTATTATCTTATCCTGGCCTCGATCATAACAACTGTGATTCAATCTATCGAACTTATAAAAGATAGGAAATATTCGTAACGTGATAAAACGTTTTGTTTATTTTTAAATGTACACAATATTCTTAGAGTAATATATTTAAAAGGCGTATCAGTTATTCAGAGCACTTAATACGTGAAAAAATCACAGCTATTATATTAAAAATTAGAAAATTACTTTAAATTTATAATTTTTTTAAAATTTAAATAGAGCAAAATAGATTTTGAAAGTTTCCTAAAAAAATTCGTATGAATATATGTTATAATTTACACTTAAAAATAACTGGAATCAAGCCAATGCACGCTTTATCTTTGGTTCGATAAGAGACGGAAAATGTTTGAGCTTGTAGGTCTTGAAAAGTACAAATACCGATTAAATATTGGTCTTATACGCATAAATAATAATAATCTAGAATATTATAGCAATACGTTTGAATAATCCAAATAGTTAAATAACAAATAGCAGCTGGTTCTTTTTATTGTTTGTCTATTTGTATACGTAAAGTGATAATTTAGACTAGATCAAATCACAACGAGGATTGCTTAGAGAAGAAGCTGACAACAATGTAACATAACGTGCGCGATTCTTAGCACAATCGTAGTGCAGCGGGACGCGATCTTTTGACCCGTCCATACTTCTCGCGATCGTCAATAAAATACTATATCCAGTTTCTCCCTCTGCTTTGTGCTGCTTTGTCATTCATGGACGTAAAACGTATTCCAGCCATTTCTCGGGATATTGCTTCCATAAAAACTGTAAATGAGTGAAAGGATACATTCTTGGTCATACGACATTTTAAATGTATAATAATCTATATAAGCAATTAACATCTCTTAATGTAATGCAATAATTCAACGTATACTGAAATAATTTTATAATGCTAAATATTGTATATCATTTTTCATATGTATGGTGCTGCGGATTATATTACCGCAGCTGACTTTATAATCTCAATAAATTGTTTTTTTTTTTTTTTTTTTTTTTTTTGTTTGTTTTTTTGTGAAAAAAAAATTAATTTTTTTTATTGCTTTCTTCTAAATTATTTCATTAATATGATTAAAAACATTGAATAGTTACAATTTCTTTTTGCACTTTGTACTTTACTTCCGCACCCGCGGAAAGTGCGAGTGTTCCTAGAATCAATCTAGATACTTTTTAATATATAGGTTGTGCACAAAGTGAATTTTGGGGTCACTTTTCACGCTTTTCGATTTTCCCATAAATTTGCGACACGTAGTAAAAACGAGCCTGAGGACTGGGGTCTGGCACGAGCTGATAGCCGCGAGAGTGGCAAAAGGAGCGAGAGAAAAAGCGGCTGCGCGACAAAAGGGGCGGTGGGGAGAAGGAATCGCGGATACGTGCAGGCCGATACATGGAGTGCGGCGTGTAAGCGTCTGAATTCAGTCTACATCCGACCGTCGCGCGCGTCGCGTCGCGAGAAGTCGTACGGTCGAGCTTACCATGGGATCGGAACAAGAACGTAAAGGATGATATCGGTGAGACGGCGGCTTACGTATAATACAACTGGACGTGAATTGCGGTCTTATCGCGGACTTAACGGGAGCGCTTTGTAAGAAGGGTATAAGAAATTTGCGACAGCGTTTATCATCGGATTAGAAGTGTATAGAACGATCTTCGGAAAGTTGAGGTACCGGTCTGAACATCGTCTCGTATGAAAGTTGCAAATAAGAATTGCAACTTGTAGGAATAAAGAATAGGGGAATTGAGTAAAATATCGAACGGCGCGCATTGGAGTTATAAAAATAATGAGAATACCGGCGACGAGAAGGTGTAACAAAGAATAAAATCAGGCAACACGCAGGTCGAATGCCGAGATAGAATTTCGTATCGGTTTCTGTATGCAGTCTCGCGAAGGAATAAATAATTCGCCGATGACAAGCGGTATATTATAACTCCACCCGAGAGGCTAATATGCCAATGACCAATGATCGGAGCTCGGGGATGTTTATGAAAGAGGTGACGGAGCGGAGAGTGAAGGAAGATAGCAGACTGGACGCGGACAACTCGCAGCGACAAATTCACGCTCTTGCGACAGGTGCAAGTTATTACGGCGCTGCCTCTTCTATCTCGCACAGTGATAATAACGTTTAGGATTGTCATTATTGTCAACCAAATGCGTGCCATCGTTCAGAAAAGTCTTCTCTCCCGTATCGTCGTTTAAGAGACATTTACGCTCGCCCTATCAAAGTTTACTGTTCGCGAAATCACGCTCCAAAGACCGAAAGTAAAACCACGAAGAAAGAAGAAAGGTGAGGATATACGCCTTTTAAACGACCGGCCGAGCTGATTTATCGTTGCTTGTTTCGTTCCAGGGCATTCGAGAACGGAGTGAAGTTGTCGCGAAGAGAGCGAACGCAGAGTACATCTCAACGGGTCGACGAGACGAGACGAGACGAGCAGAGCAGCGCGCCTCCCGACAAGCCTGCTCTCGTTTCTTCCGACGGGAAAAATTGCATCGGAAAATCGAATCGGCACGCGGGCGTGTGTGTCTGTGTCGCTGCGCGCGAGAGCCCGTGTCGGTGAGAGCGGGTCAGTGAACGATTGCGCGCCGTCGCCGTCGCGAGAGCAACGAGGAGGGAGGCTATCTCTCCGTTTCTTTCTCTTCTCTCGCTCGCTCTCTCGTACTTCGACGTACGTATATGCACGTGCGAAAGCGAGGAGAAACGTGAAACGCGCGCGTGCGCCGGCTTCTCGAGTGTACTCGGCGCCCCGACACACACTTATACGTATATAACCACCCGCACGCAGACAGGAACATCAAAGTACGTCGTATAGAGCTTCGCAGGTGCGTAAGTATACGCGGACACACGCGCGCGCGATAGAGAAGACAGCCGAAGAAGAGTAGAAGGAGGAGGAGGAGGTGGAGTTGGAGGAAAAGGAGAAGCAGGAGGTGGAGGCGCACAAGAAGAAGAAGAAGAAGAAGAAGCCAGTGACACCGGGAGGGTCGGTTGTTCCTGGTGTATAAAGCGGCCACCGGGATACATCTATATATTTGTGTGCGTGAGCGCGCGAGGAACCGCCGCGTGTGTCGGGAGAGATCCGCGGATATAAGCGATATACGGTGCGCGCGAGGTTCTCTTTCTCTCTCCCTTTCGTTCTCTTCGTCTCCCTCGCGCCCCGAGCAGGAGAAAGAAAAAAAGGGAAAACAAAAGTTCGGGCGAAAAGAAATGCGGGTTCGTTGACTGCGCGCCGCCGCCGCGCGATGGCCGTATGCTTGTGCCCGGTGCTGCTGGTGCATAGTGTGCGCGTGACAGAAGCGACGACGACGAGGACAACGGTCAAGACGCCACCGACGGTGATCGCGACGCCGGCAACGACCACGACGACGACAACGACCACGACGACGACGACGACGACGACGACAGAGGAGGTGCCGCCGGCTGCTGCGCGTTGGCCGCTCGACGAAAGCAACGTCGAGAAACAGTGAGTCTACGCACGCTCCGCTCCGGGATTCAACCTCTCGCATCACCACCCGGCATCGGCGGGCGGCAACTGTGCGGGGCCAACGGCCGCCGGTAAATCCGTCGACGAGGTTCACGAGGTACGTATTCCCCAGTCGCTAATTTGGTAATTATCCTTCGATACCGGATATCGCGCTAGCGAAAACGATATCGCGAAAAAACAGGTCAATCGTCTTTTTCCTGTCGAAGGAGTGAACCGTCGAACAATGTTGGGTCAGGTCGACTGATTGGCGATCAAATGGGTCTGAAGACCTCACTTTTAGAAATAAAGTTTAGAGAACAATAAAAAGTATATAGTAAGAAAAAAATGATAATTAGATTTGCACTTGATTTTTGTGCCTGCAAATGTAGATATTGATTAGAGATTACAGAGATTAATTATTTACAATCATAGGTAAAGAAAATTACAATAAAATAACTTGTTATTTCTGCCGATAAAATGTAGAGATTATTAAAAGACACACGTATTTTTCTTACGTTATATCTTATTAAATAAATGAAAAATATTAATCGAAAATTACATTTATGATAAGTAAGCATATATTCAATATTTTATATCAGAAATTTCACAAACTTTATGTGATATTTCTATCACACTAACTCGAACGAGCTTCTTGTAATGATAATAATTTATTGTATTTGCCTGACAGACGAGTTACAGTTCGGAGAAATAAACGTCTTCGTTATATATATATATATATATATATATATATATATATATATATATATATATATATATATATATACTATACT